GTGATGTGTTGGTTTATTACAATGTGTAGGAATTGCTTTATAAATTGTAAACTATTCATTAGATGTTAGCGTAATCATTTGAGGATGTTGATGAATTGTTGATGCATTCTCAAGAAACCCAGTACCGTGGATTTGCTAGTCTTAAAATCCTCCAAAGCAAGTTTTTTCTTTTATAGCCCAGGTCGATCTGCAGACTGGTTAAAACATTACCTGATTCTTCTCTATCTCTCAGATTCTTTGTCAGTAATAATTGTGGAGAATGGTTTCATATTTTATTTACTCACTTGACAAACATGTACAAATCATTTATTATGCATAAGGCATCGTTATAAGTGCTTGACAAATGTTAACTCACAATTCCATGTGGTTTAGTATTTATTAATTATCAATCATTAATATTAATATTATCTGAATTTTACTGATGTGGAAACTGAGGCACAGAGAGGTTAAGAAACTTCACCAAGGTCACACAGCTACTGAGAGGCAGAATCAGGCCATGGGTCTAGGTAGTCTAGTGTCTAGCTGCAAACTTTTTATTTGTAGAACACTTTCTTCACAGAGTCTCATGGAAAAGTTCAGTGTGTGGCTGAACAAAGCAGAGCTGCTTTGGTTCAAGTTCTGAAGCTCAGCTCCTCTGCTCCCGCTGGGGGCCCTGTTTGCAAAGCCCTGATCCAGGAAATAACACCTCTTGGAGCAATGCCACTTGTAAGCTATCTTCAATCCACTCAGGCGTAAAACAAATAAAATTCTTTTCTCACTTTAATTAACTGATTGTGTTTTATTTTGAAAATTTTATCTGCCTAATCTACTTCTGGCAGAAATAAAATGCTAAGATGGATTTTCCCCAGGATGGTAATGCCATATGGCGATTTGGACTTTGCTGGCTTAAGTCTCCCTTGGGTTTCTTTATACAAATTGAGGACTGTGATTGTAAAAGTTTTTTGAACCAAAGAGAGAAATGGAATTTGATTTTATATGAATAGAGTTGGATAACTTTGCAACCAGCTAAGCATGAACTCTGTTATGGGCTGCTTGTCTTCTGTGGTTATTAATAATATAAAATAATAGAAACAACAATATTAACAGTTCCTGTCCATTGAGAACCTTCTGCAACCAGGCATTTAAAAAACTCTCATTTTTATAACTCTAGGTGTTATCACCCCTATTTTAAAGATATGTAAATTGAGGCTAGGCTTTTATGGAATTTGTTTAAGATGCCCCCACTGGTGAGTGGGGGAGGAAGGCTATTTTGAGAAATAACAGTGATTAAGGAGCAGTGATTAAATAGCAGATATTAAGAATGAATAGCACATAAGAGAATATATTATCAAATAAATAACATGAGGCCCAACATTATTTTCGAATTCTGGAAGACTGTAAGAATGCAGAATGCAGTGGGATCCATTCTACGGAGTGATTACTTCCTATGATGAAATGCCTCTTATCGTTTGTTAGTGTACACAGTGTACAACATACTAAAAAGAAAAAAAGAATTTAAATCAATAAAACGAGACTATAGATCAAGGGAGATTGAACTGGAGAACAAAAAATAACTCAGATCAATTTGATTTCTTGCTTGCCTATGTTTTCCCACTGGTTTTGCTGACCCCTGCTGTACCCTACTCCAGGGGTCAGCAAACTTTTTCTGAAAAGGACCAGATAGTAAATATTTTAGACATTGTTTGCCACATGTTTTCTGTGTCACAGGCACTCAACTCTGCTGTGGCAGTGCCAAAGCACTGTGTAAATAAATGGCCATGGTTAGAGTAAAACTTCATTTATGGACATTAAATTTGAACTTCATATAATTTTTATGTGTCACAAAATGTTACTCTTCTTTTGACTTGGGCTCCTGGGCAGTGGTTTTCTGGTCACCACTCTAGCCTGACCTCTCACCCCCAGCCCTCTGGTTCCCAAGCACGTTGGTGATTGTCTCCGTGGGTGTTTCTTTCGCTTCGAGCATTTAAATGTTATTTTGCACCAAGAAATTAATTCCGAAAAGACTTCAGAGGACCTAGAAACAGAACTACCTCCACTCACACTCTGCAAAAGCAAACTCGCAGAAGAATTTCAGCTGCCAAATCAACTTCAGCGGAAACAGATAGAAGCCCCAGTGGCTGTCTAAGAGGATTTATAATAAAATGGAAAATTCTTGGCATACTCTGTCAGTTTCATCAAAGATTAAAGGATAAATGTGGAACTCTGTGTTATCCCCAGAAATTTTAAAGTGATGCTAGTAAATATGAAAATTCTTTGTGTGCTTTAATAGTGTAGGTCATTGCTAAATTTTAAATTTTTTTTTTTTTCCTCGCTAGTGAAACCAGCTTTAATGTGATGGACACACTCTTGAACTTGGTGTCCAAAAGGCAAAGGTTTTATTTTCAGCTCTCTTAGTTTTACTGTGATCTTGGGTAAGTTAACATCCGCTACAGGAATCTTGGCTTCTTTATTAGTAAAATGAGATTAATAATCCTCCCTTAAAAGGCTTTCTATTTTATTTTTTAGTTTTTTACTATTTATTATGGAAATTTCACACAGAAACAAAATAAGTCGAGGAGTGTGATGAACCCCATGTGACCTTGCCCAATTTAACAATCCCCTGCATTTTGCTGAAACTTCTTTCATCTTTACCTCACCCCATTTTTTCTCTCTATTGGAGTATTTTCCAGCAATTTCAAATATAATATTATTTCACCTGCAAATGCTTCAATGTGTATGACTAATAGATAAGATCTTTATTTAAGGACTGCCAATTTTATTATCACACCTAGCAAAATTACAGTGATTCTTTAATATCATCTATTATCCAGGCAGTCTTAAAATTTCCCCAGCTGTCTCAAAACAAAAAAAAGCGGGGGGCGGGGGAGGCATTTATATAGTTGGTTTATTTGAATCAGGAGACAAAAAATTCACATATTGCATTAGGTCATAAGTCTCTTAAGACTTAATTTATGGCCATTTTTCTTCTCTTCTCCCTATTTTTCTTCATATAATTAATTTGTGGAAGGAATTAGTTATCTGTTCTGTAAAATTTCACGTAATCTGGATCTGACTAATTGTAACCTTCACCCTTGTAGAGTTATTAATTATCCTTTTGTTCAGATATTTACTGCTGTTCAATATAGAGGCATTGGTAGATTCAGGCTCACTTTTTTAAAAAGTTGTACTTCATAGGTGATGCTTTCTACTTGTGATCATGCCACATCTAGAGGACAAAATGTCTGGTTGTCTCTTTTTTACTCATGTTAAGATCAATTCGTGAAATCCTTCAGGTTAATGCATTCTTCATCAACCTCTCGCCTAACGTTTTTAGTATCGGTTGATGAACTGTTGCTTGGATCCACTATTTCATAAGCATTTGGAAAATGTGGGTTTTCTAATTCTATCAGCCCCTTTGGATTTATTATCAGGAATTCTTTTTTTAAAAAAATGTCCTTTCTTATCTGTTTGGTCACTATGAAATATAGTTCATACAGTAAAGGTTAGATAAGTGCTTATCGTATCTTACCTCCTCACCCCCTTTTTGGGCTAATTTTTGGTATAATGGCGGCCTATGTCCCCTGAGTTGGAGGATGAGAATTGGTGATGATGGTTGTGGTTTTTCTCCTGTCATCATAATTAAAAATTTTTTGATATGTTTCAGTCTCTCGCAGTCATTCTTCTTCAGGTTGTTTTCTGTGTCTTGTATTTAAGTAGCATTTGATTACTTTTTTGATTTCTGGTATGACAAGATACCTTAGGCTCACCTTACACATTTCTTGCCCCAGACCTGAATCATTCAAGAAGCCCTGGTTTCTTTTTAGTGAAAATGGTATACTGAGACCACAGCCTGGACACTGGGAGTATTAATTGCTATTTTTCAATGGATAGATCTAGGATATACATTTTAAGGAAAATGAATCATTATTTATATTCATAATTTTAGTTCGGATTAAAAGGTTTTTATGCAGCATTTTTGGTTCTAATTTGTATATTTTCCTTTATGCTAAAAATCTTAGTTTTAATGATATTAAGACAATGACTTCTTGATTAGCATGCTTTCTTGTGGGTGAGTGCAGGTGCATGTGTGCTAACACACTTATAACCATTTCAAAACAGCAATACCAATGTTTCCACTAACATAGTGTTAGTAAGTGTAGTTTAAGGTTGTTTTGCTATTCTTTTTGTTCTTAAGACATAGCGTACCCGGGATTAATAGTCCCTGGTATGTGTTTTAAAGTCACTTCAAATAATTCATGTGAATGTGCCATCGACTTGGTATACAGATATTTGTTCCTTATCGTAGAGGATTTTATAGGTAAAATAATTACATTGTCCAATGTCAAAACTATAAATCACTGATTGTCCCCTTTCATCCCTCCCTCCCTTCTTAGAGGTATTATAATTCGATATGTCCTTTTCTGCATCGTGCAATGTATCATTCATTGAATAATACATCCAAAGAAGAGTCCATAGCAGTAGGTAATTTATGCACCAATTCACTTTTTTTCCCCAATCTTTTACTATTACAAGTTTCAGTAAATGGCCTTTATAGATTATAGAGTTAAATAAAATGCAGTATATTAAAGGTCTATGTTAAGTATAAAGTGATATACGTGTGTGTGTGTATATATATGTATATAAGTGATATATGTATATAGACATATGATTTTTGTTATAATTGTTTTTGGTTCACAGACATTTACTAAGACATTTACCTACTTTTGAGATTTTACTATCAAATATACTGTGGCATAAAAAGAAAAATTTTACACATTTCCTACTCAGATAATTTTAAGTTTCTAACCAATCATCATTTCCACTAGTGCTGTTTTTATATTAACTTAATTCCTGAATTGATAGATATTTATAGATATCAATAATTTAAAATATTTTCTTTCAAATACCATGCAGTATTTGATTACAGTGCTAACACAGAGCTTCTTTCAGTTTGCAAACCATATACTCATATCGTCAAAGAAGGTAGTTTTGTCTAACTGATTTGTTTCCCAAAGCCAGAGTTCAGAATGACAACGGTAACAGTGACCACAGAAGTTCCCCCAAGGGGTAAGACAGAAGATCATTCTGCCTCATATGAGTCCACATCAGCTCACATTATTGAAGAAACCGAGTATGTGAAAATGGTACGTGGGTGCCAGACGTCACGTCTGCCTGATATGATTTTTTAAAATAAAGTTCAATAGGGATCGATGGGCTTTGTTTCTACCTCCATAAACCATGAGAGGAAGAACAAGCCTAGTTAGGAAGAGGATGATCTGGATCGCTGACATTTAAACACAGGTTTAGCATTTTCTTTTGAGGGTATCAACCTCTGTTTCTACACTTGGAGCAAAATTGAAGAACGGGCCAGGAGGGCTTGAAACACCTATCGGCATTTCATTTGTCCTACGTTATTCGTCACTGTACTTTCTACTGTTTCATATCATTTTTCAGTTGTTTCAGGA